GAGGTCAGGAGTTCGAAACCAGCCTGAGCAAGAGGGAGACCCCCGTCTCTACTATAAATAGAAAGAAATTAATTGGCCAACTAATATATATATATATAATTAGCTGGGCATGGTGGCGCATGCCTGTAGTCCCAGCTACTCGGGAGGCTGAGGCAAAGGATCACTTGAGCCCAGGAGTTTGAGGTTGCTGTGAGCTAGGCTGACGCCACAGCACTCACTATAGCCTGGGCAACAAGTGAGACTCTGTCTCAAAAAAAAAAAAAAGTTACTAGTAATGGAGCAAAGTTCACTCAGGAAACAGGAGTATAAAACATAAACAGGTTGATAAACGTAAAAAAATTAATCCACTTATCACTTCATGCAGTGCCCTTTTAACTGGGAGTAGGAGTGGCCTCTTGAAGCCATTGTCACTACTATCTCCCTCAGAGAACCATGCCCTCCACCTTCCCTCTCTGACTGAATAGTTCCTTCTCTGACTAAAATTCCCATACCTCCCTGCTCTGAACTCCCAGTCTTGCACCAAAGGGTTTAAAAAATAACTTTTGTTATTTTAAAAAATAACAAAGGTTATTTTTTAAAAAGTCACGCTTTGTTGCCCAGGCTAGAGTGAGTACCGTGGCCATCAGCCTAGCTCACAGCAACCTCAAACTCCTGGGCTCAAGCTATCCTTCTGCCAGTCTCCTGAGTAGCTGGGACTACAGGTATGTGCCACCATGCCCAGCTAATTTTTTCTATATATATTAGTTGTCCATATAATTTCTTTCTATTTATAGTAGAGACGGGGTCTTGCTCTTGCTCAGGCTGGTTTCGACCTCCTGACCTCGAGCAATCTGCCTGCCTTGGCCTCTCAGAGTGCTAGGATTACAGGCATGAGCCACTGAGCCCAGCCAAAAAATAACTAATAAAGTCTTAGCTCTCCAGGGAAAAGAGGAAGATAGAAATCTTAAAAATTAATAAATAAACCAAAGTTAGTTATTTGTGAAACTACATGAACCAAATAAATTACCCTTGTCCTTTACTTGACCTTATTTCACCTGGCTCTCTCAAAGTCTTAGCCTTAGAACTTCCCAGCTGCTACTGGAATACCGGATATGCCATCCTCAGATCCCCCAGCTCCACTGTGCATAGGGAGCATCTGCCCTTTTCCCCCTCCCATAGGGTCAGTGTGAACCAGGCATTGGGTATTCATGTACAGTTGTCCCTCTGTAGCTGTGGGGGATTGGCTCCAGGACCCCCCATACCAAAATCCTTGGATGCTCAAGTCCCTTGTATGAAAGGGCAGAGTATTTGCATTTAAAATATACACATCCTACCTTATACTTTAAGTTATCTCTGATTACTTATAATACCTAACATAATGTAATTGCTATCTAAATAGTTATACTATATTTTTATTTGTGTCATTTTTTTATTGTTGTACTGTTAATTTTGGATTTTTTTGAGACAAAAATCTATCTCTGTTGCCTTGGCTAGAGTGCCATGGGAGTCAGCCTAGCTCACAGCAACCTCAAACTCCTGGGCTCAAGCAATCCTTCTGCCTCAGCCTCCTGAGTAGCTAGAGAGATTACCCACAGTGGTTTCGCAATGTATCTTAAGATTGTAGGGCACTTAAGACCATTTTTATATTCTCAAGTTAGCATTTTCTTAGCTGAGAGAGTTATACAAAGAGATGTTCAAGGCCGGGCATGGTGGCTCAAGCCTGTAATCCTAGCACTCTGGGAGCCCAAGGCAGGCGGATCACTCAAGGTCAGGAGTTCGGAACCAGCCTGAGCGAGACCCTGTCTCTACCAAAAATAGAAAGAAATTAATTGACCAACTAAAATATATATACAAAAAATAAGCTGGGCATGGTGACACATGCCTGTAGGTAGTCCCAGCTACTCGGGAGGCTGAGGCAGTAGGATTGCTTGAGCCCAGGAGATTGAGGTTGCTGTGAGCTAGGCTGATGCCATGGCACTCACTCTAGCCTAGGCAACAGAGTGAGACTCTGTCTCAAAAAA